TTTTTTTTTTTTTTTTTGGTACTGGGGAACAAACTTGGGTCCTTGTGCTTGCAAGGTAGGTGGTGGCACCACTGAGCTAAATCCCTGGCCCTCGTCCAATCTTTTGACTCAGTAGTATACATCACGGCCGGCCGTGTGGGACCTGGGTGGAGAAGGAGAACAAATACAGTAATTTGGGGGGCAGTGAAGTTACTCGGAATGAAACTGTAGTGGTGGACACATGTCATTACGTAGTTGTCCCAGTCCATAGACTGTACAACACTAAATGCAAATCCTAGGGTAAACTGGTTGGTAATAGGTGTCAGTGTCCCCAGCATTAATAAAGGTATCACTCGGGTGAGGAATGGTGATACAGGAGAAGCTGTGCAAAAAAATCTCTGCACCTTCTCATGTTTGCTATGAACTGCACAAAAAAATAGTTTATTTTTAAAAAATCAGAAGTTTTGTGTTTTGTTGGGAGATTATATAAGAAAGAAAATATAATCATACTATACTGTAATTGTGCCACATAGTACAACCCTCTCGTGAACATAATTAGGTTATTGATTTATCAACAGAAAGTAAATTTACTGCCACGACGAGGGCAGGGCATTAGGATGTTAAACTGTGAACTACTATAATAAGTCAACAGGTGACGTCTCACTTTGATGGCCTAAGAGACACCATAGTAATCAGCTAGAGATCTGGAAGAAAAGGCCATAAGAAACAGCTGTGTTTGTTAATGGCCACCTCTGAGGGAAAGGATGGGGAAGGAGACTGTTGCGTCACTGTTAAGTCTTTTGCCATTATTTGTTTTTTTAAAAAATAATTTGCTTTTGATACACAATTAATAAATACATTAAAAATAGAGAAATGATTAAATTTAGATGTCCCTGGGACATGATATAAGATACAACAGAAACTTTTATTTTTGTAATTCTATGAGAGTATTTTTTTTGGGGGGGTACCAGGGATTGAACATGGGATCTTGCACTTGTGAAGCAGGCAGTGGAACCACTGAGCTAAATCCCTGGCCCCCTCTGACAGTATTTTAACTGTGCATTTATAATGTTTCTGAACAAGTTAACCTGCATCTTATCAAAGTGGCTTTTGTATCCTCCTGACAGTGTCTAGGGGATATGCTGAAAATGTTTGAGATATTTTTGGTGTCATAACTGGGGGAGCATGAATGCAGTGGGATAGAGGCCATGGATGCTAGTTAATATTCTATGGTGTGCAGGATTGCCCCACAATAAGGAAGTATCTCGCCCTAAATGTGACTTTGAGGCTGGGAAACTCAGACCTGGGTAGCTCAGGGTGGAGCCTGCACTTACCATACATGCAGCCCTGGCCTCAGTCTCTAGCACCACAGAAATCCTATACCCTGCTATGTTATAGGTTATATTGTCTTTGGCTTCTAATATCATACAGTAATAAAAATAAAATACCTAGAGTCCTATTCTTGAAAGTGAGTGTCATGCATTAGAAATTGATAAACAGACCTACTTATTCTTCATTTTTATGGCATATTTTAGAAAGACAAAAAATCCCTTCATATTAGTAAATTTTTTCATACAACATTAAAACTATTTTTTTTAAACTTTCCCTAGATATTTTTTCTTATTGTGGTTGAAATCAAATTTGATTTTGGGAGATGAAATAAACTTCTTCACTGCTGAACTTCCCTTTTCCTTCCTAGTGCTTTCTTCAGGGTTTAAGTTATAAAATCCAAGCTTGTCCTTTGCTTCTTTTCATTGAATAGAGGCTTACATCTTTTCCTGCTTGTCTGAAATAGGTTTTTATTATGTGCAAATACAAGCAGCTGCCTTGTTTGTAGGATTGCTCTTGACGGGCTGTTTATAGGCTCTTTCAGTTTTGTTTTGTTTTTTTTTTCATCTCAGGAGAATCCTCTTTCCAAATTTAATTGTGTATGATTCTAGGCTGCTTTTCCTTTCTGGGTGTTTGGTGGTCTGATGTTTGCAGGTGAAGATGCTATGCTCTGTTTCTCATCTGCGTTTTACCTCCTGGGCTGTTGCTAATGGTTTATGAAATCCATCCTGGTTTGGGATTTGCTCATGTTCTATCTCCTGCCCTCACTATATGTGTCATCATTTCAGTTCTCCTCCTGTGACACCGAGCATATCTTAATTCCTTTCATAATTAGCGTTCTATAACAAATTAGAAAAATTGTGCTGCTTTGATTTTAGAGTCTTTCTTTTTAGGATCACCTTTGAAGTGGTTCTTATTCCCTACATCCTTTTTGTGTGTGAAACTTACAGTTTTTAAATTTGTTCCAGGGCAGAAATTTTTGTCAGGCCCTTTTAGGTATTACACATTTTTCTTTTTTCCTATACTATACTTGTAACTTAAGTTTGAATATCCTTTGTTTTCATTTTGCTTACTGTTGTTGATTCTCCTGTTTCTGGTTCTTGTTGAAATTCTTTGTTTCAAACCTTCTGCTAGCAAGATAGCAGACTGATTACAAGCTCTGGAACTAACCGGAGTTTGAGTGTAAATCTTGGCTCTTCAACTGACTAGTGTGTGATCTTGGGTAAGTTACTCAACTTCTCTGGGCCTTCCTGTGTTAAATGAAAATAATAGTTCTTACCTTTAGAGTTATTGTGAGGATAAAATTAGTTAATACAGATAAGGTACATCAAGCAATGTCTGGCATGATATATGTGAATGCTAGTCATTAATAAATATTTTGCAGGTCCATATGCTCATACTCTGCTATCTTCCAACTTTTCCTAAAGTGCCAACTGATAGATAAACTGAGCAGTTAAGACTGACCCTACTGTAATCCCAGCACTTGGGAGGCTGAGGCAGGAGGATCACTGTGAGTTCAAGACCACCTTGGGCTACATAGTGAGTTCGAGGTTAGTCTCAACTACATAGTGACACCATCTGAAAAAACCAAAAACAAACAAACAAACAAAAAAAGACTGACCCTAGCCTATCAATCAACATAGAAACTTGATGTGAGAACCAGTTGTATATTTAACACTTCCAAATGAAAGCTGTTATTTTTCAAAAGTTTGGCATAAAAGTTTCATTGAATTTTCATTCCTGTAACTGTATGAAATGATAGAAATATGTTTTAGTACACAGTCTTGTGTACTAAGTGTCTGAACAAAATCTATGTATGGTAAAAAGAAAAATCCATATGATCTATCAGCGTCTGAAACACTCTGATTTTTCTATTAATGAAAGTGTGTATAGTCACAGAATAATAAGGTAATCTCATATATTACACTAATAAAAATGAAAACCGATAGTAATTGATGAGAGAAGATATAGTGAAACATACACTGCTGGTGGATAATAAATAGGCAAAAACTTTACTTTTAAGTGTATATTGTAAGAAAACTTAAAAGTTTTCATGCTCTTTGGATTCATAATTTCATACCTACAAACCTACTCCAAAGAAACAATGCAAAATTCTAATATTAGTTGTGAAGATGTTCATTATACTATATGTCATGATAAAGAATTAAAAATTGTCTAATAAGTATCATGGGCCTTATAAAACTAATGGGATTTGTAACAGAAAGATTATTATAACCCTCTTATAGATGTTTATTGGAGGAAAAAATTTTAAATTCAATTAAAATGATGTTTTCTTAATAAATTGCTTATAAACTTATGCTTGTCTTTTTAATTGTAAAGAAATGAGGCTTATCTTGGCTCATGGTTCTGGTCCAAAGTCCAACAGCTGTTTCTGATGATGTCCTCCTCGCTGGTAGAGGGCCAAGGCAAAATAGGGGCATCACTTGCTGAGAGACAGGGAGGGCTTTGCCTAGCCAAAGTGTAAAAGCCAGGTTCAAAATTGTATGATGCACCTCAATTTTTAAGTACTTTGGAAAAAATAAAGGAGAGATGTTTTCTATATTATCATTGCTTGTGTATTAGTTGTTCAATGACAGGAGATTTCTTTTCTTGGTTTTTTTAAAAGCACTTTTTTGTATTTCCATATATTGTGAATAGAGTAAAGTCTTCCCCCTTTTGTAAATGGATGGAGGGAGAGGAACTTGCCAGATAGTGGCAGAATTTTTGAAAATTGGAGATGGACAAGCAATGAAATCTATAGCAGTTGGTGTTTTACCTATGTTTGGTTTTTGTGGTGGTTGTTGTTTTTTTGGGGGGGAACTAGGGATTGAACTCAGGCCCTTGCACTTGTGAGGCTGGTGCTGGAACCATTGAGGTGAATCCCCAGCCCCTTGATAGCAGTTGGGAACAAGATGAATCCATCTGCCACTGAAACCAGGACAGCCTGTGTGAGGGTTCCTGACCTTTGCTGCGGGATAGACAATATTTTTAAAAAGCATCAATTGCGGCATAAAAGCAAAGTATGACCACTCAACTATGACTGATTATCTAAAAAGATTTTCAGCAGTACTCTAAATGGAGGATTTTACTTTTATTATGTTCTATGATAATTAAAATAGAGCAAAGAAAGAGAGAGAGAAAGAATGAGAGAGGGGGGAGAGGGAGAGAGAGCGAGAGACGGAAACATTTCCAATCCAATTTTGAGCTAACAAATGAAATATCAGAGGTTTTGTGACAGGCTGCTTGTCTGAGCTGTCAGATGAAAGGCAACTGCACTTGAGGCATCGAGTTTTTGCTGAACAGTCCTCTCACTCTCAAATAGGTAGTATACAGCTAGTAAAGCTAATTGGAACATTTGGGTTGTGATGCGATGTTCTAACTACTATTTGCATCTATTGTTTTCCTGCAGTTTTTTGTTTGTTTTTTCTGGTGCTGGGGATTGCATCCATGGCCTCCATGATAAGCACATACTCTGCTACTGAGCTACACCCCCACCCTTCTTACAGAAATTTAACAGCACAAAATCAACAGCAAACTTTCTAATAGGAACCTATCAACCACAATGAATTCCAATAAGAAAACATTTCTTCTTTACAGAGTTCAGAGTGTTTTTTGTAAACCCAGTTGATTTCCAACCTTGTTTTTCAGCATGATGATTATTTTGTAGAGGGCAAACAAGGAAGTTTGAGAAGTTGTATGCCACGATTAGATCACAAAGCTGTCACAGTGAAAACTCTAATCAGTTTTGCTGCCTACTGCAGTCTCGGGTTATATCTGTAGCTTCCACAAGGGGCAGGGATTTCTCTCCTCACCATTTGTAAATGATGCCCCAAGGAGGCATTATAGAAAAGATCATATACCTTGGGGGTTGTTCCCTGTGACTGTGGCTGAAGGATTCTCTCCAGTTACCCATCCAGATGGAATTTGTGGCAGCTTAGCAGCCTGGATACTGAAGTGATAGAGTATAAAATATTGAATTTCAATGTGTCTGTATCGTTTCAGCTTTGATCTTCATTTTTGATTATGCAATTAATCACATATGAAATTGTCTGAGCCTGTTGCTCTGGGGGTAGAAACTTCCCCATTATTTTAGTCTTAAGTAGTTTATCCAATTTAAAAAAAAAGTTTCACAGTGTGAAACTTTAGCCTGGAAAAACTAACACTCATTGTGCCAGTGAAGTAGTACATTTAATAACAGAGTTTGTATTTTGTATTGCAGGAGTTTGAACAAGATGAGGACTGCAGTCAGTCCATGTTGGCTAGTGAAAAAGAAGATCCCAAGGATGAAGGGCAAGATTGGGCACCCAGGACAGAAGGTATCTGGCTTCTGTCCTTGATATGCTTACAAAGTTAACATTGATTTTGGGGGAGTTCCGCCCCCTACTGTTGGAAGTGCTAGTATAACTTTGAGAACACAGAAAAAGCCAGGCATGGTGATGTCCACCTATGATCCCAGCTTCACAGAAGGCTGACCCAAGATTGCATTCGAGGCTAGCCTGGAAAACATAGTGAGATCCCATCTCAAAGTAAAATAAAAAGTGCTGGGGACGTAGTCCGGTGCCTTCTGGATTCACTCCTGGGTTCTTGCCATTAGGGGCTGGGGTGGGGTGGAAAATAAAAACCTCTCGACATCCTATCCTTTAGTTCACCTCCGAATCAGTGAATTTTGGCAACTTGCCTTTGCTCAGATGGCCAACTCTGTCCTGGTTCTTCTCTGTAGCTTACCCTACTCAAGCTCAGCATGACTCTCTGCCCCTTTCCTTTTTGACTAATAACAGCCTTTCTTCCATCTTTTTGCACTCAGAATCTTACATCAGCTCCAGTAATGTTACCTTCCAGATACAAACATCCATCCATCTGTAGTGGTCCTTGAGTTCTTTCCCTTGAGGGGAAGGTGGGAGAGTGAACTAGCTCAAAAAATGCTGTCTCTTATTCTATGGGGTCCTAAGTCAAGAATTTTCCAGAACGACACCCGTTTCAAATATATTACCCTGCAATGTCCCTGAGTGCCCTTGCAGACCACACAGTGTTTGCAGATCCTTGCTTCAGAAAATAGTCACCACAGCTAATACATTCCCCCATCATCTCTTTGCCTATAACCTTCTTAAATTAAATATTTGAACTGTTCCAGTTTCTTCCTGGAAATTTTCTGGCTTCCATTTCTGACACTGCAGGGAAGCTGCCCTCCTACTTGTATCTGTTTTTCTCATCATTTTCCTGGCTGGGGTCTCCTGTGGTACCTTGTGTCTGCTGCCCTCTGCTGGAAAACCCCTGCCTTTCTCCAAATCACTGCAGATCTCTTCCTAAACCAGGGCGCAGAGTAAATTAGTCACAGTTAAAAATGATGAACACCATTAAGCTTGAAAGAGATAATTAAAATTTTTAAAATTCTCATTACTTCCAAACAGTCTTTATGATCATCCTTTGAATTTTATAGACTTCAAAGCCAAGTTCTCAGAAGCCTAATATTGTTCCTGAGTACCTTTCAAGAGGTTGAATAGTTCATTTATTCTGCTCAGTTTGGAGATGGCTTGCCCTTGAGGCACCAGGCATTTTTTTCAGATTTATTTGTAATATTTTTTCAGTTTTAATATAGGAGACAAAATATTTAGAATTTTGTTGAGCTCTTGGAGTTTTAAGCCTTAATACATTGGGTTGCAAATTTCAAAGAAATAGTAATTTTTCTGATCAAATTTCTCCTCACAGTTGAAAGATTTCAGTGGAGTTAGTTACTTTTTGAAATCAGAGTCTTAAATAAAAGAGTTTTGAGGATTGCTGTGCACTTTATGCATCTTAGTATCCATGTAGTTCTCTTTATCAATTCACCACCATTAAATCCCATTTCCATTTTATTTCTAGGGTTATTAGTGTTCAAAGTGCTCACACACTTTCCAAAAAAGATCATATGCTCATACCACATGACTGTTTATTCTGTTATAGATTTGGATGTTTAACCATTTTGTTTGTATCTATTTGTCCCTTTTTCTATTAAAAAGGAGAGATCGCTAATTAAAATACCTATACCATCCATACTGTTTGGATCACTCCCATAAATCGTAACATTCCTTATGGAGAATTTAAGTATTCTTGCAGCATACATTTGCTTTATTATGGGCTTTTGTGAAGATAATGTGTAAAATACAATTTATGGACCAAAAAATAAAAAGTCTCTTATTTTTTCCCCTAATACAAAATTCTTTTTGTTTTCCTCAGTTATCGCTTTTCTCAGAAGACAAGCAGATACAGACCTTGTAGACTAGAAACTGATCTTGTAGATTTACTGTTTTCATGAATTAATAACAGCGATTTTAGGAATTAAACTACTGGGCTTAAAAATTTTAATGCAATGTAAATGCATCAAGATTTTTAGGCACAAAGAACCTACTCTTAGTTGTATTTTAAAAAGGAATGAATTTTAAAAAGGCATTTAGAGTTTATAAACCATTGAAAAACCAGAGAGGAATTGCCTTAGTCCACTCAGACTGTCAACAAACTAACAGCATGAGTGATTTGAACCGCAGACATTTATTTTCTCATAATTCATTAGCTTTCCTCTCATATGGCCTTTCCTGGGGGCTGGTCACTGGATTCTCTTCTTACTTAGAGACTAATCTTATTGGATCAGGGACCAATCCTTATGACCTTGTGTAACCTTAATTTCTCCAAATATAGCCATGCTAGGAAAAGAGCTTCAATAAATATGGATTTTTGGGAAGACATAACATTCAATCCATAGCAGGAAGACTCGAGGTTGTATTGCCAGGAAGAATTCCTATAACCACATCTCAAAACTGGCTACTTCTGATTCCCAAATCATGCTGTCTCTGTCGTAATCATGTTCCCACTATGTAATTAAGAACTCTATCCCTCTGCTGACACCCAACTCAGTGCAAAGGACACCTGTACCTTATCTTTTTTTCAAACTACTCACTTGCGTTGGTCTTTCAGGTAAGCTTTCTGAACTCTAGTGATATAGGAGGGTAGAAAATAGAGGGTTTTTTTGTTTGGTTTGGTTTGGTATTAGGGATTGAACTCGGGACCTTGTGCTTGTGAGGCAGGTGATGGAACCACTGAGCTAAATCCCTGGCCCCAAAATAGAGGGTTTTAAAAAAACAATTTATCCTTTTTCTGAGAGACTAAATTCAGTACAATATTAGTTTTCATAACATCTAACATCAAACTTAACTACTTTCTGTGCAGTACTAGAGGGGTAATCTATTTTATTTGACTACCCTTATGCAATTCATTTGAGTAGTTCTGTGGATTATCAGTTGTCAAAATGTTTGTCCCTACAGTTACTCCTACATTTGTAAGCAGTTTCTTCCACACATCATTTAAAGAAAATTTATGTGGTGTGATTGCACTTTTTTTAAATACCAGGATTTCTAAAACTAAGAAAAACAATGCGTAAAACATCAGTGCTTTTTACTAAGGATATAATTAAATTTCATCAGTATCTTATATTATAGTTTGACTCGTGCTAGAAATGTTAAAATCCAAGATCTGCCAAATAACATAATACCAACATTCCATATTAATTAATAAAATATTTGGGTTCCATAATAGAGATGTTAAGGGATAAGAAAAAGAAAAGGCCACATTTCAAGTATTCTTTTTAAAAAAATATAGAAGCGAAGTAATGAGCATAACTACACAAAATATATTTGAACCAAAGGCAAGCTAAACTAGTTAAGGATCAGCCTTAAAAAATTACATTTTAGAACTTTGTGATACCCTCATAAAAGCCAGCCGACTAAGGGTATCAAAACAGTAGTCATTCAAAAATATAGTTTTTAAAAAGTTGAGACACAATTTAGGAAAATATCAGAACATAGGGAAGGGTATCAAAATATTCTCAACTTTGATGCCCATAATTCAGACAAATATGCCCATCAGTTTAAACAAAACAAAGAAAAAACACGGGAAAGTCAGTCTTTTTTTAGAGACAATAATTTTTCTTCCTTGAATGTTATTTTAAGTGTCCATTTTTAATAATGGCTTTAACACTAACAATAAAGTTAATGATCTTTTTAAAATATTGTTTTCACCTCGTCTATGAAGAAAACATATTTTTTGCTATGTCAAAATATTGCCTTTAAATTTCTTTCAATGGTAACATTTTCTGGGGTTAATTTACACTTTCTTATGTGAAAAATGCACTTTGATCATGATAGTATACTCAAGTAGTTTCTTTTTACTGTGACAAGGTGTCATCTTTGCTGGTGTCCAGGGTGGGTTCATAGCTTATCCACAGTTCCTAGGCTGCTCACAGTGTTCAAGAGACTGGAACAAAGATATAAAAAAGTTTACATCTTTCTAAATGATTTCAGAGTCAGTACTTTCTGTAATAATTTCCCCATTTAGGACCAACAGTTAGGATAGTGACTCTTAAGAATTTCTAAAAAGGCTGGTATTCCTTATATTTACTTATTGTATCTATATTCCTTGGTTGAAAAAGAAATCAACCAGTTGGACTTTTGAGTACTTAATATTTGCTTGAAAATGTTATAGGTTTATCTGTCCTATATCATCATAAAACATAGTCATTTTTAAATTATGTGCTCATGTGAATACATTCATTTTCTAATTTCCATAGTAAAGTACTAAATATATCTAGCTTTTGTCCCAGAACATCCTTCTCACTGACAATTTAGATATTAGGAATGTATGCTATATGTTTTTCTCACTCTAATGTTTCACCTAGTTTTTCACACTTGAGGATGACTACAAAAATGTTGTGAAAGACATCTGACTTCCTTACAAGTTGAAGAGTGACCTTGTGTGTGTCACACAGACACCTGGCTATCAATTTCTTCATCTTAAGAATGAAGGGCTTGGATCAGAGGCCCTCTAATTCCTTTCAGCTCTATAATTCAAAGCCTCTCATTTCACACTACATAGTGTGATGTTAGCATCTTTTGAAAACTTTCATTTGCCCATTCCAAGGAAACTTCATTGCTAGAGTCATTCTTTGCTATCGTGTAATGTTAGAATACATACAATCAACTCATCTTGTTTGAGAAACATAAAGAAAACCAGAGCTAGATACATTTTCATGGTACCACAGATTATAATGTTGGATGACAAAGATAGTAAACATGATTATCATTTACCTGATTATAAATAAAACTTTTCCTTTTGGAGAATTTTACTGTTTCTTTTAAAACTGCACGAGTTCATTAAATGGCACAGATATAAAAATGAAACAATAAAAATACTTTTGCTCTGGAAGTTCTTGTGTATTAAACAAAATATCCAAAGTCCTTTAAAAACAATAAAAATCTACTGAACAAGATGATGATGGTGCTGATAGTGACTGGTAATTTTTCCCTGGCCTCCCAGGAAGTGGCAGAGGAAGTATATAGACTCAGATCTGATCCACCCTTCCTTATCCTTCTTGTGATACTTCATCCCTGAAATTCAGGCAGTGGTACTTAAAAAAACCATTGCTCCTTCAGGCATGTGCAGATTGAATAAACAGCCCTGTCAAATTCATGGATAGGACACGCATTGTGCCCTCCTAGGACATTCCTCTGTGTTCCCAGGCTCTGCACATGCCTATCGCCGTGTTTACTGTCCCATTGTATTCTTTGCTTCTTATTGTCTTATTGCTTCTTATTGCCATAGCTCCATCTTGTTTATTTCTATATCTTCAGCCCAAAGCCGTGGGCTTGGTATATATATACTTAATAAAAGTTTATTGGATGGGGAGGTGGAGTGAATGAACCAAACTTCAACTTTGTTATATTATATGCAAACACTGGTTCTCCAAGTTGGAACTTTCCATTTAAGAGTTATACTGGAAATCATTCTGTGGAACCAAACAAGAGATGACCAAAATTACAAATACAAGCAAGTTTCTTTGAGCTACAAGAATTATCTCAGTTAATCCTCACTAAAGACAGTCCTGTTAGGTAGGTACGATCAGTTACACTTTATAGAAAGAGGTCTTATATTATCAACCCAGTAACAGTACTGTTCATTGTAAAACTATATTTTACATCAGGAAATTTTTATTATATAGGATTTTTTCTCTTTAAGTATTTATTTAAAACCTATCGTGTGCTGGACAAGAAAGATTGAAAGGTGGTCAAGCCTCAGCCACTGGTTTATGTATGTTTTCTAATCATTAAGAACAAATTGGCCAAATAGAAATACAAATACTTCTCCCACTTACTGTTCATTATTTTTACTTATTTTTTTAAACTTACTGTTCATTATTTTTTTTCTGTTTTGCTACTATCATATGTTTCCATAGGTGTTGAGATTATTATGACTTTTCCAAGACATGTCAGTCATCTGCAAGAAGTGAGCCAAGATTTGAAAAGAAGCAAGTAAGGAATATCCTTGGGTTGTTCAATTAGAATATAAATATGAAGTAATGATGCTGTGTAGCAACCTGTATTTTCAGTAATTTGATCCAAAACAAAGCTCTAAGGCAAGGGTCACAGTAAATATTATATAGCAGGGCCAAATATTATTTTAAGCTTTGTGGACCAGATGGACTCTTTGAAGTCATTCAGCTTGCAGTTGTCACTTGAAGGCAGCCATAGACAATATGTAAACAAATGAGTGTACGTGCAATGCAATTAAAGCTAAAAATACAGGATGAAGGTCAAGTCTGGCCCCAAAGGAATAATGTGCTGACCTTGCTCCAGAAAAGTGCTATCCAAAATGTGGTGCTTTGGCTCTGTGTTATGTCCATGATGAGCTCAATACAGAACTTGAGAGTAACCATTTTTAAAAATTGAATAGTGATTTTTACAATGTGATTTCAAATTCATTGGTCATATAATGAAAAAAAATTGGGGCTTACTGTCTGCATGTTTTTTATTCTTATTTTGTTTTTATAATCACTCATTTTTATTGGGGTTTACAATAGTATCAATCCATAACATATTTGAACCTTTAAAAACTGGCCTAAAGATAACCTGATAAGAACTGGTCTGGCCCATGCCTTTGGAGATACGAAGTACAACTCCTATACCTACACTATCTCTTATTTCTCTGCTTCAGGAAATTGGGACTAGAAAAATGGAAGTGAATAGGCGATAGTACTGGGTGCAGAGTACAGAGAAGGTGAGGAGCAGGTTGGAGGATGGAGAGAGAGGTCTTGTCCTCTCGGGATACAGCTATTCCACTTAGTAGCACCATTTGGAAATAGATCTCTAAACTTTCCCATGAGGTCAGACTGGCCTGAGAAGTAGAGATCCAATAGACACAGTGACTGTGTTAGCTTTCCACCACTGTGACAAGATACCTGAGATAATCAACTTAAAAAGAAGAAAAGGTTTATTTTGGGGTCATAGTTTCAGAGGTTTGAGTGCATGGTCATTTTGACTGTGTGTATGTGTGTGCACATCATAGAGGAGTGCATGTAGTAGAGGATACTGCTTGCTACATGATAGCCATGAAGCAAAAAGAGAGACCAAGAGACCAGCATCCCAGTATCTCTTGTAAGGGCATGCCTAACTTCTTTCACTAGGTCCTCCTACCTCCTAAAGATTCTGCCACCTCTCAACAGTGCCACAGGCTGGACACCAGTCTTTTAACATATGGGCCTTTGGGGGCCATCCAGATCCATACTATAGTGGTGAATGAGTTTTAAATCAAACCGTGTCTCCCCTTTTAGTCACATAACCTCAGTGCATCCAGAATGGACACAAGCACAACCTGTTTCTCTCTCAAATGAAATTGAGATGGTGGACTTCAGGGCAAAGATGCTGACTGTGAGGCCTTTACCACTGAAAAACGAAGAAAGTTCCAAGGAGCTCTGTGATGTGGATTTGGGCTTTTTGTTGCCCAGAACTTGCTTAGAACCATGTATCTCCAAGTCAGTGACCAGGGAAGAGGCTCCTCATTTTCTGAAGGGGCAGCAAAGAAAATCTGAAGGTAAATTGAGAATTTAATTCTACAGTGATTCCTTTATTCTTTTGGCAGACAGACATTTGTTATGCCAGGCATTATTCTAAGTCCTTGGAGATGCAGCGATAACAAGACACAATAACCCCTACCCTGGTAAAATTCACACTTGTGAGTGGGACAGGCAATAAAGTAGCAAACAAGTAAAATATATAGCATATCAGACAGTCATAAATGCTAAGGAAAAAAAAGAGAAATGGGCATGTAGAGTCTGGGAAGTCCAAGATCAAGGCACTGGCAAATCTGGTGTCTGATGGGCTTATTTCCTAGTGCTTAGATGGTACCCTGTTGCCAAGTCCTTGCATAGTTAAAGGAGTAAACCAGCTTCACTGGGCCTATTTCAAAAGAACATTAATCCAGTTTATGAGGCTTCCATTTTCAAGGCTCACCTCAGTACTCCTATCTTGTGAAGTAGGATTTCACGATACAAATTTGGGGAGACACAGACATTCAGACCATAGGAAGCAGTCTGACATTTTACATAGGGCGAATGAGGGATAGTATCATTGAGAAGGTTACTTAAGCCAACAATTAAGATAAAGAGAATGGGTTGTGTATATTTCAGGGGAGAATGATCCAAGGAACAAGAAGGTCAGTGTAGCCGGAACAAAGTGTGCATGGGTGAGAGGAAGTATAAGAAAATGGGATGTGAACTGTAATAGGACAGGCACAAATTATATAGGGTCATGTAGTAGGTACATGGGGGTGTTATGAACGACCCAGCGGAACTTTAGAGGATGATCTGAAGTGGAAGTTTAAACATTCTTTTAAAAGTGCTCTAAAAATAGGTACAGAATTATAAATTATATCTTACCATGTCATCTTTTTTGATTTATAGGCAGCTTTGCTTTATAACCCCTAGTTTAGAATATACATTAGTAGTTTCTTTTTTTTTCTCTTCCCTGTCTTTTAACCTGCATTTCAAATTTTCCATATCCTTTTCTTTCTGAGCTGTATTCTGGATCATTTTATTTTTATGTCTTTTAGTTCATTGATAATCTTCAGCATTATCTAACCTGCTTCTAAACTGACCAATTGAGTTTTTTCTACCAATATTTTATTTTCATTGAGTTTATTGGTACATTTTAGGTATACAGTACAGTTGCATTCATCATTGGGATCTTGTCCCTTTACATGACAGGTCTTGGTTCTCATTTTTTCCCCATACCCCCTGCCTTATCCTCTCTATCCTCCCCTATTTACAAAGACTTTGTTTCCATTTTTACCTTTTCTCATATTTTTTCTTTTCCCTTATTTCCTTTCCCCCTACCCTTCCCACTTCCCCTACACTGTTAGCCATTTTCTTCCTGTTTCACATTATCAGTTATAGAATTTGGATCTTACTTACACTTTTAGTTTTTCATACTGGAGAAACTATTTGGTATTTACACATGTGTGTCCTATTTATTTCACTTAAGAGTATGGCCTCAATAGACATCTATTTTCCTATTAATGACTCTAGTTTCTCACTCTTTATGGCTCAGTAGTATTCCATTTTATAGAAAAACTACATCTTCTTTACCCAGTCTCCAACTGATGGGCAATTGGGCTAAATTTTAGCTATTACATACTGTGCTGCTATAAACATGGGTGTGCATATATCGCCGTGGCATGATTTCTACCTACATTTTATAATAAGATTTTTATAAATATAAAGCAAAGTTGAAAGAATCTTTAGAGTGGACACCTGCATATTTACATCTATATTCTACCCTTAATATTTTGCTTTACTTGTTTTATCGTGTGCCTGTTCATCTATCCATCCACTGATCCATCTTAATTTTTGTTCAATTTACAAGTAAATTACAGATATCAGTATATGTTTCCCCAAAATTTCAGCATGCTTATCATTTGCTAGAGTTCAGTATGTGTTTGAAGATTTTTTTTTCATTTGGAAAAAAAGTACATCCAGTGCACATTCACTTGAGTATCTACAAATGCATATGCCTGTGAAACCCAAATCCTTGTCAATATACAGAACAATATGAACACCAAAAAGTTCCTTTATGGCCCTTCCCAGTCATTACTAATCTGCTCTCTCAGGGTAATTCCTGGTCTGATTTTTCTTCCTCCACAGATTGTTACACACTCTTTTAAGCAAGCAAATAGTACTCTGGTGTATGAATATGGCACAGTTTGTTTATCCAATCTTCTCTTGATGGATATCTAGGCTGCTTTTTTGACTATTATAAATAAAACTTCACTAATCATTCTTCTTTAATGAAAAATAAAACAAATTTTCATAACCCAAACAATGGAATTTATAGTTTGGGGGAAGTGTATGAGCTTCTTCTTATTTCCTATTTATCTCTCTTCTATTCTGCTCTTTGTTTTTCTCATATAAGGGAAACCATGTATTATTTGAGTTTGTGTGTCTAACTTATTTCATTTAACATTACGTTCTCAAGTTGCATCCATTTACCTATCTATGAATGTCTCGAGTTTATCTTTCTTTAGTGTCATAGTACTCTATGGTGTATAAATAGAACATTTTCTTTATCAACTCATCTCTCGATGGACATATATGCTGTTTCCAAGATCTGGGTATTATAAATTGTGCTGTTATAAACATGGGTGCACATGTATCACTGTAATACGTTGATTTTAACTCTTTTGGAAGAATACCTAGGGGAGGATAGCTGGGTCAAATGGAATTTCTGGTTTGTTTTAGTTTTTAGAATTTTTAGTTTTTTGAGGAGTCTCCACACGGGCTTCCACAGTAGTACTGTAGTTTACATTCCTACTAATGGTGTCGTAGAGTTCCTTTTTCCCACAACCTCACCAGCATTCATTGTTAGATTTTTTGGTGATAGCCATTCTTTCTGAGGTAAGATGATATCTCAGTGTTGTTTTATTTTGGATTTCTCTGGTGATGAGGCATGATGAGCATCTTTTCATGAATTTATTGGCTACTTATACTTCTTCTGAGAAGTGTTTGTTCATTTTGGTTTTCCTTTTTTCTTCTTCTTCTTCTTCAGTTCCAGGAATTGAATTTAGGACCTTGTGCTTGACAGGCAGGCATGATCCACTGAGCTAAATCCGCGGCCCTCCGTATTTTTGATTGGGTCTTTTATTTGAGGAGAAGGTCTAATTTTTTTTTTTTTTAGTTCTTTATGTATTCTTGATATTAGTCCTCTGTCCCAGAAATAGCTGGTGAGATTTTCCCCATTCTGTAGATTGTCTCTTCATTCTATTGGTGGTTCCTTTGCTGTGTAAAAGCTTGTTAATTTGATATGATCCCATTTGTTGATTCTCAGTATTATTTCTTGTGTCACTGGGGTTCTGTTCAGAGAGTCCTTGCGAATGCCTATGTCTTTAAGAGTTGTATCTATTCTATCTTCCAGTAGAGCATTTCTGTTTAACATTTAGATATTTGATACATTTTTATTTTATTTTAGTACATGGTGAGATATACGAGTCTAGGCTCATCTTCTGCATTTGTTTATCCAATTTTCTGAGTACTATTTATTAAAGAGGCTATCTTACCTCCAGTGAGTGTTTTGTCTCCTTTGTCAATAATCAAATAGCTATGTGTGCCTGGGGTTGTTTCCGCTTCCTCTATTCTCTTCCATTGATCCACATGACTATTTTTATGTCAGTACCATGGTGTTTTAATCATTGTAGCTTTATGATAACTTCAACTTCCGGGAAGATGGCAGATACCACCTGCTTTACTTTTATTGCTCAGGATTGCTTTTGTTATTCTGGGTCTCTTCAGATTCTGTGTACATTTTAGTATTGTTTTCTGTGAGAAATGACATTGGTATTTTGATTGGGATAGTGTTAAATCTGTATATCAGTTTTAGAAGTGTGGCCATTGTGATTATGCTGTTTCTGCCTAACCAGGAACAGGGAACATTTTACCATGTCCTCTGCGATTTCCTTTTTCAGTCTGATGTAATTGTCATTGTAGAGATCTTTCATTTCCTTAGTTAGATTAATACTGAAATAATTCATTTTTTTCTTTTTTATGCTATTGTGAATTGTGAATGGTATTGTTTTCCTAATTTCTTTTTCAGTGAATTTGTTATTAGTATATAGGATTCTCTGATCATTCTTTTTTTTTTTTTGAGACAGGGTCTCACTATGTAGTTCAGACTGACCTGGAACTCACTATTGTAGCCCAGGCTGGTCTTGGACTCACAGCGATCCTCCTGCCTCAGCCTCCCAAGTGCTAGGATTTACAGGCATGCGCCACCACACCCGGCTTCTCTGATCATTCTTGTACAAGTCTTTCTGTAAAGACTTTTCTCTTTGGTAAATTTTTAGAATAAAATATCTGGGTTACAGGGTAGTTGTATATTTAGTTCTTAAGAAATGGCCAGAAAATTTTCCAACTTCTCTGTAACATTCTACACCCCTGTGAACACAGAAAGATTTGAATTTTCTTCTGCCTCCACCTCTGCCGCCGCCGCCGCCTCCTCCTCCTCCTCCTCCTCCTCCTCCTCCTTTTTTTTGAGACAGGGTCTTGCTATGTAGTTCAGGTTGGCCTTGAACTCACTATGGAGCCCAGGAAGATTTTTTTTTCTCATTGAGTTCATTGGTACATTTTAGGTATACAGTACATTTACATTCATCATTGGGATCTTGTACCTTTACATGTCAGGTCTTGGTTCTCATTTTTTCCCCTTAACCCTGTCCTCCCTTCACCCCCTCTTCCCTTCCTTATTTACGAATACATTATTTCCATGTTTTCATTTTTTCATATTTTTTTCTTTTCCCTTATTTCCTTTCCCCTACCCTTCCCACTTCCCCTACACCTTTAGCCCTTTTCTTCCTATTTCACATTGTCAATTATACCATTTGGATCTTACTTATACTTTTAGTTTTTCATACCAGAGAAACTTTGATATTTACACGTGTGTCTTATTTATTTCACTTAAGGATATGACCTCAATATGCATCCATTTTCCTATGAATGACTCTAATTTCTCATTCTTTATGAGCCAGGAAAATTTTGAACTCTTAGCAGTCCTCCTGCCTCAGCCTCCCAGGGACTGGGATTACAGGCATGCGCCACCACTGCCAGTTGAATTTGCTCCTACTATAGGTTCCAGGTTCTTCACTGATTTCAGTCTCCTTTAGCCTGATTCCTAGATTCTAAAATTAATGTGAGGGTCTAAGAACCAAGTTTAAATGTGCATAGACAGGCCTTTTCTCTAGGCTAGTTCTCCCTAGAGAGGGATAATCCAAGCTTCGGCTTGAAATTTTTAAGGCTGGAGGCCCATGTTCTTGACACTGAACCCTGGCTTTATATTTCAGCATGTAGATTATCCCTGAATCCTCTTATTTTTATTACAGCTCTACATTTATGTTCCCACTTATACATAGAGCCTTAACATCTTTTTTTCAAATTCTCCAGAGTAAACTGCCAGCCATCTTCAAGGAGAGGAGATGAGCAATTCCTGACTAATTAGGCAGAAATCTGGAACCCACTTCTTGTAGAGTTATGAGCATCTTTTTTGTTTCCTTCTGGCCTGTATCCCCGTCCTCAGAGGTACCTGTTCTCTTCAATTCTTGCTTCTTCTTTGTTAGTGCATGTTTGTAGTACATGCAGTTTACAGTCATCTTGGGGAGTGGGTACGTGTACATGATGCAGCTTGATTATTTTTCAGTCCCCTCTCCCCACTTTCTTTAAATTCCCTTTCCCCACTTTTATTCTTGTTGGTACTATCATCTTATCTCATAAAATCCTTGCATGCATTGAGGTTTTTGGGCTCCAAATGAGAGCCACTATATGGTATTTGAAATTGTATATCTGATTTATTTCCCTCTCTTGCTCCTTTCTAGGGTTTTTCTCTTTTTTAAGTTTTCTGCCTATAAGCACTGATCAGACAGAGAAAGCTGACAACTAAGTCAACTCTTAATTCATCCATATGGTTTTCACCAATCAAAGTTTTGTTGGCACCACTCATCTGTTTCTTTGCTTTTTTGTGTTTGTATTCTCATTTCTCTTTTAAAACTCCTCATTTTAGTGACAGAGAATGGAGAACAGCTTATATATTCAATCTGCCATGATTAATTGGAACTCTACACATTTTAAAAGGCTTTCAAGGCCTATATCTGACTTAATCAACCAGAAATATCTTCACCAAAAATCTTTCTGAGTATCTTTCTATTCAACATCATTCTTCACCAACACTTTATAATATCTAACCAAATATAAATAATATCTGAAAGATACTGTTTTACTCAAGAGGTTATTCAAATAAATTATGTTCAGTTGTATTTCTGGATTAACTTCTCATATCTTTTCAACAGAAAATCTCAGCCTCTAAAGTGGAACCTTTATGAGAGCAAAGATTTTTGTCTTTGTTATTCACAAGTACTGTATTATCATTTGGGACACTATTAGCCAATCAGTAAGCATGCAATAATGATTTTGGGATAAATGCACGAAGAACTGGGAAAGCGAGAGGAATGCCTGTGCCTCTTCCTGTGAAGATCCTCTTCTTAGGTGACTTTTTCACCTGATATGGGCTTCTCTGCCTGTGTTATAGCTTATAAGAAGTTCATTTTTTTTTCCAAGAAAAATTTCAAAATCACAGCCTGTGGCTGAAAAGGACTTACAGGTGTGTTTTATTTAGTCCTCACAGCATTTAAAATCAAAGGACTGGTAATGGCGGTGATTAACACCTATAATCTGAGCTCCTGGGAGGCTGAGGCGATAACATGAGTTTGAGACCAGCCTGGGATACATAGTGAGTTCTAGGCCAGCCCACAGTAAATAGTGAGACCCTGTCTCAAGCAAACAAACACAACCCCCCCCAAAAAAACAAACAAACAAACAAAATGCAAAGCCCTGGGAGGAACATTTCACATAAAATCCACTGATCTCAGGTATGTTGTCATTGAAACATCTAGCAGTGCTGGGTTACCGATGTGGTGTGGACTTCACTTACAACTGGATAATGATGCCACTCTAGTGTGGACACATGATCCCAATTCACTACTTTTCACTTATACCCATTTATATAACTTGTTTTGATCCTGGAGACATTGGAGCCTTTTGACTTTAGCTTTAGGCTGGAGTGATGGATTTGGAGAACCGTTCTGATTCTTTAGTAAGAAGAGTACAACTTCTAGGTTTTATATTACCTAGTAAATTCCACACTTTTCTTTTCCATATCACTGTCAAGAATTTATGATCTAACTCAAACAACTGTTGGGAGACAATTACACACGGTGTACACTTTCACGTTTCTGCACCGTCCAAGCTTTCTGAGCAAAAAGCACTAGAAAACTAAATTCAAAGATGATTGAAGAGCAAACAGGCATAGTGAGAGATTAGCAACAATAGAACAATTATAACAATATAATGCAACAAAAGTTTTGTGAATGTGGCCTCTCTCTCTCCCTCTCATTGCCCTTCACTAATCCTTCTTGCTCTTGTGATGATGTGAGATGATACAATGCCTGTGTGACAAAATAAAGTGAGGAGAATGACATAGGCATAATGAGGTAGCATTAGTCTCTTACATGGGGTTATGTGAAAAGCAGCATTGCGACACTAAGACAGTGAGCCTGACAACTCTGTTGATGACTAGAGGGTGACTAATGGGTGGGTGGTGCATACAGTGTGGGTGATAAAAACATGATCTGATGGGACAGAGAAAAGATGGTGCGAGATTTCATCATGCATTTCAAAATGGCGCAAAATTTAGTGCTTGTGAACCGTTTATTTCTGAGATTTTCTATTTAATGTTTTTAAATCACAGAAACCACAGGAAACCAAACTGTGGGTAAGGGGAAATTACTGCATAAAACAGCAATTCCTTCTGGTAGCAGTGGCCTAAATTTTTCCATACCCACTTTCCATGTGAATTACATGGGGAAAAACTTTTAATTTCTGTCATTTTCTCTCAGACTTTAATATCTACAGTACTTCATCCTCAAACTTTGGTTTTAAGAATGTGCTCACTTAACCGTTAAGAATATTCAATTATTGTTTTTTTCTCTGTGTAGAGTTTTCTACATGTGACAAGAAATGCAGTAGCCGACAACTTGGGGTAAGATTAGTTATAACATTTTTTACTTGAGAATTAAAAACCAAGGAACTTTAATTATTAAAGACAAACTTCATCAAACTGTTCAGAACCTAGACCTCAGCAATTATATCTTCAGAAAACAATAACTCATGGTTTATGGACTAGTAGTCATTCTTGGGAAAATTATGCCTTGTGTGTTGCTTTTCTGGGCTGTTTCTTTTTCTCTGCATAATGAAGTGAGCAGCTCTTATAGACACATTTTCACTTATTTATTTTTTGGTCTTTTTTAGTTTTAAATATTTGTTTTGAGACAGAGCCTTGCTGTGTAGTTCAAGCTGGTCTTTTGTTTTTTAAGTTGGCCCAGTGATCCTCCTGACTCAGCCTCCTGAGTGCTGGAATTATAGCCATATGCCACCATGCCTGCCTTCATTTGATTTCTTTTTACCACTTAACAGTTTACCCTGAGTGTCCCTTGGGCAGTGTGTTTGTTTATTTACTGACTATCCTGACCATTGCTTGGGCAAGTGTCGTTTTAACCAGTCAATTCTTGTATTGAATAAATTTGATAAAATTGCTTTTATATATCCTGTTATCTTATACAAATTAATGCAAATATGCAATTTTGGGTCATCCTGTATTTAAATAATTGGACTGGTAAGTGGTTAACCTGACTAGAAGCTAGATAATTTTTTTCCAGTGGTGAAAAATTTTTAGTTGTTTAATTTATAAATAAAGCTTTTGGAAGGTTACTTATAATTCTAGTTTTCTCAGCTCTCTCACCCCTTATGTATCCCGGAGACTTTTGAGAAAATACTTATACATTAGTAACTGCTAGTGTTTTAAAAAGGAATTTGTCGGACTAAAAATTAGTGGCAGTTACTAGAATGTTGAGACAATGGGAAAATCTACCATTATTTCTGTCATTTTGGGGAAATGTAGAAAATCACCCAGACAATGAAAATGAGGCTACATTGCATCTTACCTCCGAATGCTCAGGTTTCTAGGGTCAGTTTCTTTTTCCTTCCTTCTTACAAAAGGTGGCAAAGAATAAAAATTAAATTTATAAGCTCTCAGTTACCATACATGATCTGTTCCCCAAAATATTCTGACATAAGTATGGACTGTGTATACAAGAGGAAAGCCCACAAGGAAAAGAAACGTCAAGGAGTTTATAACTCAATGATTACAAAGCTAAATATTATATACTAGGTTATAGTGACCTCTAGAGGTTAGTATTAATACAAAGTAGTTTAATTTGAAAATATAGCGGACCCCCAAAATTCGTGAGGTTGTTACTACAGCACCCATGAATCGTGAAAAACTGCAAATTTCAGATATGGTCAGAAAAAGGCCTATAAATGCCTTTTTTTTTTTTTTTTTTACTGGGGATTGAACTTGGGACCTTGTGCTTGCGAGGCAGGCAGCAGAACCACTGAGCTAAATCCCTGGCTAAATGCCTATTTTTTTATAGTTTAAACTCTATGCTATGTCTCCCACAGTTATGTAATTTAGTTTAATAAAATGCTGTATTAATAAACCCGTAGAAGGTGCAGGGCATTTTGGCGGCATTTTAGGGATTTTAGGATTTTAAGAACAAAAACCAAGAACACTCGAGATAGCTACATGCAGCACAGGAAATTGTTATGATGCGGGAATGCAGGTGCATCTGCTGGAAATGGGTTACAGGCAGCAACCAATCAGCAGCAAGGAGAACTAAGTAACACTCTCTGATTGGCTACTTGCGACCCTCCCACAAAACAAAAACAAAACAACAACAACAAAACATTGTCGAAGATATTTGAGGTTTACGTGAAATTGCAGGGGTTTCCACAATTGACAGAGTCCACAAACTCAACCCTGGCTTTGTTTGGGGTGTGTGGTAGTTGAAGGACAAAGGAGAATGAAAAGTCATCCAGGATACTAACTTTCAAGGGCAAAGTGCAGGAATGTATAAGTCACTCTCAACAAAACAATTCAGCAAAATGATGATAAGTATTTGTGTGCCAGATACAAACTGGTTTAGTCAACAATGGAGTGATCATCGTGTGTGTGTATATATATATATATATACAAACATACATATATAAGTGCAATTTAAAACTATTCTCAGTGGGATTTCAAAAATCTTAAAAACCACCCACCATCCTATGGAAAGAAAAGACAAAAGAGAAGAGAAATAATAAGCTGGTTCTTTTTTTTTCATTGAGTTTATTGATACTTTTTAGGTATACAGTACAGTTATTCATCATTGGGATCTTGTACCTTTACATGACAGGTCTTGGTTCTCATTTTTTCCCCATACCCCTGTTCTCAAGCCGGTTCTTACCTTAAATTTTTAACACAGATATTCATTTGAAAATATGTAACCAAGAATGTTTAAACCTCATTTTTGAAAGTATTATCTTGTCTTGGTTCCAAAAACAAAAAACAAAAAAACTACTGAGTTATGAGATTTTAGTTGTTTTGTCTTGTTTTTGTTTTTGGTGTTAGGGATTAAACCCAGGGCCTTGTACATGATAAGTACATGTTCTATCATGGAGATTTTCATTTTTAAAATTATTTTATCTCTAGGATAGCTTTGTAGTTTAAAGACCTACCTTAAGAGAATATTACAGGGGCTAGGGATTTAGCTTAGTGGCACCTTGCCTGCCTTTCAGGCTCAAGGTCTTGAGTTTGATCCCCAGTACCAGAAAAAACAAAAAGCAAAAAGAGAGATTATTAAACACTCTTCAGATTTAAACCAGTTAACACCATATTTATGTGTTTCTGCATTCTCCCCCTTTTCTCTCTTTCCTTTTAGTTACCTCTGCCACTGCTGTCACTCTTACCCATGAGATCTGATGTCCTCACTATCCCCAAAAGTCACAAGTTTCAAAGGGAGAGAGAAAGAAATATTTCAAGCTTCACATCCTCTATACCTAAGATTTCAGTTAGTCCACCACGAGAAGCCTCACTGAAAGGCTCAGGGGATCAGAATCTCAGGACTTCCGGTAGCTATATTTGGTCAAGAAACATGTGCTCCTTTTGGAAAGGTAGCCATCACAGACAATACCTGGAGGTGGAGGAGAATTGGAGGTCCAAGGAAACAGAAGTATCTGAAATCTCTTGCTTTGATAAAAGGCAGTCTTTTGTGTCCTTTGAGACTTTTAAGGAAGGCAATATTCTTATAGATAGGGGAGAGGATATTGAATGTCATGGTAGTAATACAAGAAAAGCAGAAGAGAACTCCCAATATCTTTTATCAAGAAAGAAACAAGATTCAGCATCCAGAAACTATGAACAAGATTCAGAAATTATATGTACCTTTCCAAGCAAGCTCCAAGAAGCCCGACATTCAGAAACAACTCCAGCTGAGAATGAAGGGGTCAAAAATGATATCATTGATTCAGAAAGCTCTTCATTGTATAAAGGTGAAGCCACAGAGCCCAACATTTTAGAAGAGTTTACTGAAGTTAAAAGCATGTCAAATGTAATCTCTGATGGCCCCATTGAAAAGCTTCTAGAAGGTCATAGAGATACAGAAACAAACATGAAACTATCTGTAGCAGAAGGAAACCAAACAGAAATGAATGAGAAGATGCCCCTTGTTGACATCACTTTCCCTGGAGATGGAACCCCCCAGGAACCAGCCATACTCAAACCAACCCTCCAAAAAAGAAAGAGCACCATTCATAACAGTAATTTCAACATACTTGCACACCAAGAAAATGACAAACGTAAGATGAGTATCCATAGAAGTAAATTGGATTCAAAGACCAAGACAAGTAACAGGACATCTCAGAACTTCATGATTTCCATTCAAACTTCCATTAAGCCAACTATGCATAAAACTAGCATAAAAACTCAAGTTTTCCCTGCTTTGGAGCTTGTTGACCCCAGGCCTCAGCAGTCACCCAGGTTTCAAAGGAAAACACCACAGATGGAAAAGAAGCAATCAACTTACCGACAGAAACCTAAAAAGCAATCATTTCCTTGCATCTGTAAAAATTCAGGAATAAAAAAGCCATGTGTTCCTCTCTCTGCTCAACCAACAGAGCCAAGACTACATTATTTAGATCTTAAGTATAGTGACATGTTCAAAGAAATCAATTCAACCGCTAATGGGCCTGGAATATATGAAATGTTTGGGACCCCTGTTTATTGTCACATGAGAGAAGCTGAAAGACATGAAAACAAATTTTACTGTGAGATATATTCAACTCCATCAGATAGATGTATAACCAATAAATGTCGATCTTCACATGGTGAGAGGAGCAGCAACAACAGAACAAGACTTTCTCAAAAAAGACCACATATTAAACCCTCAAAGCCTTCAGTTTCTCTTAAACAAAAGCACAAAGGTTTAATTTCTAAAGAAAAGGGTTGCAAGGCTGTCGGTAGAAACCTACAAGACATTGAAAATAGTAATGGTATTTCAGAAGCAGGCTGGCAGATAAAATCTTCAGGAAACGACTTTCTCTCTCCCAAAGAAGAAGTTCAGCCCATAAACTTGTCCCAGACTCTTGAGAAGTCCACTGAACAGAACAAATTCATTCCTGTTCCGGATTTATCCATTGTTGAAGAAATCTCCATGGAAGAGTCTACCAATGAAGAAGACATCTCTAACCATCAAATACTCACCACGAGCCTTAGAGATCTGCAAGAACTTGAAGAGCTACATCATCAGGCCCCATTTGTTCCTTTAGAAAACAGCTGGGCCATGCCCAGTGAGAAGAGTTCTATTAAATGTACACTACCAGAAAAGCAACGTATAACTCTGGATAAAATAAATGCTCGCCAAATGTTAATGAATTATCTAGAGTTTGATAATGTTTTAGATAAGCCTAAAACACTTGCAAGTTTCTCTTTCCAGGAGAAGCAAGAAAGCACATCTTCCCAAACATATCAATATTGGGCACATTCTTTCGATCATGATAGTTTAACAAATAAGTCAATAACATTTCAGACATTAGGAAAAACTTTAAAGGATACAAATTCAATTTCCCAAGAAATTCTGGATTCAGTAAAGAATGAAGAATTAACAGATGAGCTATTAGGTTGTCTAGCTGCAGAACTATTAGCTCTTGATGAGAAAGATTACAACTCTTGCCAAATAATGGCAAATAAAACAGATCCTGAAAACCTAAATCTTGTCCTAAACAGGAGAGGAAATACCACAAAAGAATTGGACAGAGAGATGACAAATATTACAATACAGGTTGGTATAATTAGAATCAGAGAGTTATTGGGATAGGAAGGGACATCAGAGACAATCTGGTTCAAACCCTTATTTTCAAATGAGGAATCATAAACTCTAAATAATTAAGTAGTTTCTTCAGGGTCTCATTGTTTGATCATGAGGTTGGGATCCAGGTCCCCCCAAAAGATATTTTCTGTATATGACCTTACTTCTGGGATTTAGTTAGTTTAACACTGAAATGAAATCCCTTGGAGTAAATTAATTTAGCAAAGCCATTTTCTTAAATATTTTATTGAATGATCACATTTTCAACGCAGATACTTTTTCATGATTAGCAAATAAATAAGCAATGCATTACTCCAAATGTGTTTTAGGTGTTGCATAAGATGGAAAGAAATGACCATACCCTGTGAAGTAGCTTACCATTTCATATGGAAACATGAAATGAACATTTCTCAAAGATTCCCCAAACTTGAGCCTTTGCTCTCAGATGATTCACTACCTTAGCACAAAAATATCGATACCTACTATGTTTCTATCACTGAGCTAAGCACAAGGAAGATAGTGATGCATAGAACTCAGCTATTGCTCTCAAGAAAGCATAAGCAAAACTGAAAAAAAATTTAAAGCATTTTGTTTGGCATAGAAATGAGAACAGAATGGAAAAGAATATCAGCATATAGTTGTGGTTTGTTGTAGTATTCCCTGAGCACATGGTTTTCCTAGTCTGCTCAAATTTTAAGGACAGAAATAGCAAGTTAAGCTGAAATGCTATTTATGAGACATGAAACCAGGTGTGATCAAAATATACAGTGAATGTTTAAATTTTTAAAATGTATTACAGTAAAAGACACATGGTGACTAAAGTGGCAAGGAGGGTGAGATAGGTGTGTTTGAAGTGAGGGGGAGTATTCTGAGGGGATTAATAGCAATGTGACTTTGTAATAAATTTAAACATGCACTTTACTTTTTTATTACACTTCATCTCATAGAAAGTAAATAAATATGCTGGTGCTAGGTTTATGGAGAACTTCTTACATTTGAGTGAGGCTCATTGTATTACATTATTTAATACTTCACAATAGCTCTATAAGCCCCGTAGGTATAAATATGTCCCCACAGTGTCAGTGAGGAAATTGAGGTTTAGAGGATCACGGAGCCAGTATATGGAGGTGCCAGGCATCCTGATTCCAGCTCCACACCCTTAAGCAGTGCACAGAGGGACATATTTCTCTTCCTAAATGTTCACTGTCAGGTGAACTTAGTCTTGACGGGAGGAAGAGAGATGGATAGTGATTTAGAGAAGTTTCCAGGCTGGGGTGAGAAATGGGTATAGTGTGTACACGTGTGTGTGACTAAAATGGGCCCGCCAACTTGCCATTTCAAATTGAAGAGGAGCCAGTAAGCCAGTAAGCATACTCAGACCATCACTCCACTCTGCAAAAACTGACCTTTGTGCTGCGGGTGTGGCTCAGTACCAGGGCACCTGCTTAGCAAGCGCCATACCCTGAATTCAATCCCAGCATCACCAAACAAAAAAGTAGAACTGGTCTTTATGGTCTTTTATTTTCCAAGCAGTCTTAAATTTTGTTTTGTATAGAAAAATGAGAAAAATGGGTAAAAGGGATTTAGATAGTTTTAATGGCATGTGGACAGTCACAAGGTAGGATTTCTTGTTCCTGAAGAGTCTTCACCATACCTCTGCATCGACATCCTTATTTATTTTTAAGATTACTAGTAGAGGAGATCAAAACGAAAAGTTCTGGTCCTGATCAAACAATTGGGAGAAGGGTTCTGTGTTCTTCAAAGGTATACTTATTTCATGACTTCTCCAGGGAAGTGCTTCTTAAGGTTTATATGAATATGCTGTGATTTAGATTAAAAATGGCCCCGAAAGCCTCGTGTGTGTGTGTGTGTGTGGGGGGGTGATTGGACTATGGGATTGTAGAACTATGTAACTTGCTGTTGTTTGGAGGAGATGGGTCACTGGGGACATGGCCTGGCAGCGTTTATCTCCCTTCCCAGCTTGCCCCTTGTTTCTTTCTGTTACCTACCACCATGGCCTAAGAAGGTCTCCTTTACCTTGCCCCTCTGCCGTACAGTACTGCCTTGGAGCCAGCAGACTATGGGCTGAAACATGAGTAAATTATGGGTGTCAGGTATCTTGTCCCCGAACAAGGGGAAGTGACTAAGACAGAGCATGAATTTCTATTCATGGGGATCCTATTAAAATATGGATGTCGATTCAGTTTGTCTAAGGCTTGGGATTCTGTAGGTCTAGCAAGTTGATTCTGCTGGTCTGCACATTCTCTTCAGAGTAGTAAAGGTCTTCAGGATGGTGGATCTTTGGTCAATTTTGCTAAAGATTAAATTAAGATTAAATTAAGATTAAATTCTTTGTTATGGCTCTGTGCATGTGTGTGTGTGAGAGAGAGAGAAACTGTTATGTTTTGTTAATGTACATGTTTTCATAAATATATATATTATGCTTTTACAGTGGTCTCTTGACTTATGAACTCAATCAGTTCCTGAGGGCTGGTTTCAATTCAAATTGGTTGTAAGTCAGCACAGCTGAGATCTGGATGTTTACCTGGGTACACACTATAGATAATAAGAGGCAGATGAATCTTCCATTAATCTAAGTAACCCAAGTTGGACCCAACTTTAGGGTCCACTGTACGTTTATGTGTTTGACTGTATGTATATCTTACGGAAATAAATGAAGAACCGGAAGACTATTCAGAGCTTGCTTTAGCCACCTTCACTTGCATTTGGCAGGGACACAGAGGCAGGCAGAAGGTTGGGAAGGGTTTATGATGGGGAACAGGGTGCCCTAAATGGAGAATGTTGGTATGGGGAAGTCATTTGCTTAACTAGAAGTGTTGTATCCTGAGATTAGTGAGAGGAACATAGTCTGCATTCTTTAATTGGTCCTAAATTGGAAATGGAAATGGAACTTAGAGAAGCTGTTATTAACCAAGTACTGGTTATGTGGTCATTTTGGGGAAATATGGGGGTCCAGAAGTTACTTATGAACAGTAAGAATAGCCATCGGCAGGTGCATTTGAAAGGAAGACTATTGTTCTCTCCATTCCAATGAGAGAGAGCTGAATAGTGCTCTTTCCTTTTGTTTCATTTCTCCAGAGGTTCAGGATATATGACAGGGAGGAGAAATTTCTGGCCTCAAATGAAAGGAGGATGTTTTCTGAAAATAGTTTAAAGCATGAAGAATCTATCCTGTGGACCAAGGGTGAGATCCTTGGGAAGGGAGCCTACGGCACAGTAAGTCCAATCAGAACTCCCAGCCCTCTTTGACCTTCCTTTTCCCTAGCTGTCCTCCCTGCACTCCTGCCCACATTCTTACATAAAGTTCTTTCAGTTGGAAGTAACAGAAAACCCAAAACCAACTGGCTTGAAGGAAAAGATCTTTATTGTTTTATTCAGCTAAAAGGCATGGAGTTGGTCTGGCTCTGGGCACAAGTGGCTTCAGGGATCAAACCATGTCATCACTATTAGTTTATTTCCATCTGGCTCTTGTTTTCAGGCTTCACACAGTGGTTTACTGATCATTGCGTTTCTAGCCTCTCATTATTTCAGGTTCAGATCCAGTGGGAAAAAATCTCTTCCTTCAGTGGCTCAGTGTTACTGTAAGTTGGGAGACCCATTTCCAGGTGGCAAAAACAAAAGCTGTGCCTTGTGTTTTGCAAATTGTGTAAAGGGCCATCTGAAGTCTTAGTAGCTTTGATAGTATTTACATAGGTGATAAAGAAAAGACTGACCCTCCCCTCCATAAGATAAAATCTTTGCAGTTGCCAGATGGGAACCTTGGAGGAATAAGTGAGGTTGTGTTAACAGGGTTTGGTGTGCTGTGGGCACCTTCTAGAGAATTTTTTTTCCAGGTTCTTGTTGTCTTGAACAAAGACATGTGCAAACGGAGCAAGGATTTACATTTATTAAACGCAGGAAACAAAATATGCTCTGCAGGGTCAGATCAGGCCACTTGAAAGAGCTTATATATATAGTGGCCATGAAGTTAATGGTGTCTGTCTTTTGTGTCTTCGTTTTGTCAGTCAGTCAGATCTAGGTCATCCTATCAAAAATCTACTTGATTTCACGTCAGAAGAATTAAAAATAGCATGTTTCTGTTGGTCCCTGGTGAGGCTTAGATGCATGTGTGCTGGATCTCTGTGATTGGTCATGCCCACTCGCCCAGCTAGTTGGCCATGTTTTAATCTCTTGGCTCAGGTGGAAGACATCAAACCACTGAGATAACAACATGAGGATAGCTGCCAGGACTTGGCTCCTTTCTTCAGGAAGCTTAGAACTAATCTACTCTTATTTATTCAGTGAGGGGCTTTTTAAAACCGCTATCTGGGCTGGGGATTTAGTGCAGTGGTGACACTGCCTGCCTCCCAAGCACAAAGTCCTGAGTTCGACCTCTGGAACCAAAAACAAACAAAAAACACCACTACCTGATGTAATCATCATAGAAATATGTGAGGCAAATATGATTTTATCTCAGTTTTACTGATAAGAAAAACTGAAGTAAAAAAGATTACACAACTTATCCAAAGTTGTATAGTTGGGGAAAGGAAAGTCAGGATTGTAATCAATCCAGCTACTCAACTCTAAGCCAGTATGATATCCACTTACCATACTGCTTGCGCATTCCTATCTTGGCTCCAAAATTTGCTTTAGCATTTTTCATGTAGAAGGGAATGTATCAAGTGTTTGGCAGAAGGGAAAGTCAAATGTGACATGAAGCATTTTGTGAGTGTGTTATGATACTATTAAATTTAATAATAAGGTATTGGTTTGCTTCTAGGTATATTGTGGTCTCACTAGCCAAGGACAGCTAATAGCTGTAAAACAAGTAGCTTTGGATACCTCTGATAAGTTGGCTACTGAAAAGGAATACCGGAAACTACAGGAAGAAGTAGATTTGCTCAAGGCACTGAAACATGTCAATATTGTGGCCTATTTGGGGACATGCTTGGAAGAGAATATTGTAAGCATTTTCATGGAGTTTGTTCCTGGTGGCTCAATCTCTAGTATTATAAACCGTTTTGGGCCACTGCCTGAGATGGTATTTTGTAAATACACAAAACAAATTCTGCAAGGTGTTGCCTACCTCCATGACAACTGTGTGGTACATCGAGATATCAAAGGAAATAATGTTATGCTAATGCCAACTGGAATAATAAAGCTGATTGATTTTGGCTGTGCCAAGCGTTTGGCCTGGGCGGGCTTAAATGGCACTCACAGTGACATGCTGAAGTCCATGCATGGAACTCCGTACTGGATGGCCCCAGAAGTCATCAGTGAGTCTGGCTATGGAAGGAAGTCAGACATCTGGAGCATTGGCTGCACTGTGTTTGAGATGGCCACAGGGAAGCCCCCACTGGCTTCCATGGGCAGGATGGCAGCCATGTTTTACATTGGAGCACACCGAGGACTGATGCCTCCTTTACCAGACCACTTCTCAGAAAATGCAGCAGACTTTGTGCGCATGTGCCTAACTAGGTAAGAAACAGAAAGCAGGAATAGGAGAATAAATGCCCAGAGTCCAAGCAGCTGACATTTGCTTAGCAATTTGTGGCCCATTAAATGCTGTTTCAGTTACAAAATCAATTAGGGAGTGATTGTTGTGCTGAAAGTAATCATGACTAAGTGCATTGTGTGATTGTTGTTGTATCAAGTATAGGGGGCAGTGCTTCAAGGAGAAATTGCCTCAATTAAATGCGCTGTCAGGTCCTGACAATAATTCTCCAAACCAGTGGGTTGGTTTGCAAAACTTGCTAAAGATCTACTTATGTATCATTGGGAGTATGGAGCTGGAACTCATCCGTTACAACTAGGATTATGCAGAGCATCTTAAAATCACCCACCTAGTGAGGCTCAACACTTAGTTGTTTTTTTTTTTGTTGTTTTTGTTTTTTGAGACAGGGTCTCACTATGTAGTTGAGACTGACCTGGAACTCACTATGTAGCCCAGGCTGGTCTCAAACTCACAGCGATCCTCCTGCCTCAGCCTTCCGAGTGCTGGGATTACAGGCATGCACCACCACACCTGGCACAACACTTAGTTGTAATACAGGTAAGGCTGAGACTCAAACTCAGTTTCCTGTCTGCCGAGGAAGTGTGCTCTCTTATTCTTAGATGAACAATTCTAGTGCTTATCCTTTAGCAAGCACATATGACACTTACATCCTAACTCCCATGTGGTTCATGTTGCCTTTCAGACTGAATCTCAGAATCCACAGTTCTCTTTGTCTGCCAGAAAGTGTGTCCCTCTGTCTCCCTCTCCCAGCACGCATTTGTCAGTCTGTCCTGGTTGATTTTAGGATGAACACATGAACCATGGCAGGAATATGAACTCCAGGAGACTAGTTCTGGGCACTGCTAAATGCAAAGACCTTAGGTGTCTTAGTGTGGATTTTATAAACAGAGCCCCAAGATAAAACTGCATACCTTCCTGAAAACAAAAAGCAAAAACCCAACAAACTGCAAAAGGGACATAATGGTATCAGGGTATCAGTACTAGATGTGGTTTGTCTTAGCTTTAAAATTACTGTACTTGCTTTGCTTTAACAATTATCTATTTTTTCTCTCACTACTAGAAACCACTTGACTATTCTCATTTTCTTTCAAGTTATCATTATATAGGCAAATTGAGATTTAAAGAGAGTGGAATTATTTATGGCTCTCCTTCTGAACCTTTGTATCATAAAGCAATACACAACTTATCCACTAATACACAAAATTATGAAGATTAAGTGAAATGGCATATAGAAAATGCTTAGTCTATGAGGCACAGAGTTAGGATTCCTTAGTTAATAATCAGGAAGTACACTAACAAACTTTAACTAATTAGTCACACACACAGACACACACACACACACACACACACACACACACACAAAACAAACAAACAAAAAAAACCTTTTTGAATTCTAGAGCAAAGACCCTGACACTGAGGCACTAAATTGGGTGGCAGGTTAGAAGAAGGGCCAGAAATGGATACTGGCTGAAACTAGAAAAGTAGGAATCCAGAATTTAGACTTTGATGGAAGTAGCAGTGAGAATGTAAACAGGATACCAGAACATTTCAAAAGGTGAATCAGGACTTGGTAATGGAGAAGCATAACAGGATTTCATGGTTTTGTGTGGACAATGGAAGAAATAGTTGTGAGAGAGCAATAGGCAAAGGACATTGAAAAGCTCCTTGCCTCTTGTCTAAGGAAGACACTTGGAACTCCAGAAAGCAATTGGATTGGAGGTACAAACCTGGTGCAGTAGTATGGGCCTGTAGTCCAAACTACTCAGGAGGCTGAGTCAGGAGGATCATGAGTTAAGAGGCCAGGATGGGCAACTTAGTGAGACATTACCTTACAAAAAAAAAAAAAAAAAAAAAAAAAAAAAAAAAAAAAAAAAAAAGTGACTGGGCGTATAATAGCTCACTGGTAAAATTTGGTTAACAGTCACAGGGTTTAATTTCCAGCACCAGCTAACAACAAAATCATTACAACATTGTTAGTTATAGTCTTGAAAAAAATTAGAGGCTGAGAAAAGTAGTTTTGAAAATGTGCAAGGAGAAAAATAATGCACATAGAATCAAATCTAGCATGTAACTGGAAAAAGAGGATGACAAAGGAAAACAGAATGAGAGGAGTTGCCCAAGGTGGAGAATCAAGAGAACAATTTTCCAGTAAGTTCCAGCAGAGAGTTTCAGATAGGATGGAATACTGAGCATTTCAAATACTACAGATAACAAGGAAAGGAGTGCACTAGATTTAGTCAATTTCAAGAGGTGATTTCTACAGAGCAATAGGCCAAATGCTAAGGATTTAGGGATAACAAATGTTGGGGAAAGAATTAAGAGTGGCCATGAAGTTAATGGTGTCTGCCTTTTGTCTCTTCGTTTTGTCAGTCAGTCAGATCTAGGTCATCCTATCAAAAATCTACTTGATTTCATGTCAGAAGAATTAAAAATAGCATGTTTCTGTTGGTAGTGGTACAGCATGTTCTTAGCATGCACAAAGCCCTGAGGTTGATCTGAAACATCACCAAAAAACTAACCAAATGAAAATCTCACAGGGCTCACATCTCAGGATCGCTGGTGTGGTGGTACATGCTTATACCCTGAGCACTCTGGGAGATTGAGGCGGGAAGACTGCACATTTGAGCTTTGCCTGGGCAATTTAGTGACTTAGTGAGATCTTGTCTCAAAAAATAAAATGGGCTGGGGCTGTAGTTCAGTGTGAAGGCCCAGGGATCAATCCCCAGTACTGGGGGAAGAAAAGAAAAACTGGCTGTATGGCCAGAAAATGATTTTTCAAGAGATCACCCTGTATTCTGAAGGCCTCTCTCCAGATGGAGAGATTATCCTAAAATGATACATTAAAATATACTTTAAGAAGCATTTTATCCCATTTTCACTGTAGTCACCAGCTAGTCATTTTGCTTTCAAAATTAACAGATAGCCAATTAAACCAGGTATAGGGGTGCATGCCTATAATCTCTGCTGAAGCAGGAGGACCACAAGTTTGAAGCCAGCCTGGGAAACCTAGCAAGGCCATCTCAAAAAAAAAAAAAAAAAAAAAAAAAAAAAAAC